TCACACTGACTAGCTTACGCTTAGTGGGCTCAAGTCTCTTTGCTTCATGAAAAATAAGAGTAAGATCAATGATGATCTCATCAGCAATAGGATCCCACAGGACACCCAGAACTTTCTGCTCACTTCCCAGAGCAGAGTTAACTCTCCCTAAAGTACTCTGAGCATAAGTCTCATGCTCATCTCCTTCAAAAACAATACCTTTCTCTGCTGAGTCAATTAGACTCTGTACTTCTGCATTATTGCTTTAAAACTTTCTTAAATTAAATCCTCCTTTAGCAAATATATTTTTTGAATCTTTATAAAGAGAAAATGCTTCAGAAACATTATCAGCACCAGTTATGACATCGTCCACATAAATAGAGTCTTTAATCTTCTGAATTAGATCTGGATACCTCGACTCAAAGGTGCTTAAGTGCTGAGCAATGGTGGCATTGAGAAGGTATGGGCTTGGAGCAACACCAAACACCACACGTGTGAACTTATAAATCTGAAGCTCAGGATTCTCACAAAAAACATCTTTGTACCACAGAAAACGCAAAACATCCTGATCTACATCTGCCACCTGAATCATAAGAAAGGCTTTCTCTATATCAGCCACAATAGCAATAGGCCACATCCTAAATCTCAAAAGAATATCAAAAACCTTTTGATGCAATGAAGGTCCTATATGGAGGCAATTATTCAGTGATGGACCGTTAGTCTTAGCAGAGGCATCGTATACAATTCTTAATTTTGTAGTAGACTTATCCTGTCTCAACACACAATGATGCGGTAAATAGTGTATATGAGCCACACTGCATTCTTCAGAGTTCTCAACAGGGACAATAATTCCCAAGGCTAGTTGCTCTCTAATGATATCATCATATTTCTTCAATAACTCAGGAGAGCTCTTCAGGCGCTTAAACAAACCACTCAATCGACGTAAACAAAGCTGATAGTTATCAGCAAGAGAAATGCAAGAGTCTTTTCAAGGCAGGGAAACAACATACTTACCATTAGCAAACTTCACATGATCACCAAATTGAGTTTGCACTAAATTCTCATCTTCCAAAATTCCTAAAGATTCTAGCTCCCAAAATAAACGTAATCTATGTTCTAGGCTCATGTCTTCATGGACACCATCAACCCTTAAAACATGGGTGACCATAGTAGCACTCCGTGCACTAGACTGTTTCACAGCAGCAGTACCAGATAAAATCCAGCCAAAGCATGAGTTTAGAGCAACAGGCCCATTGTTACTCTTCATTATCTCACCTGTAAGTAGAGACCAATACTGGTCAGATCCAATTAAGATGTCTGGCTTTATCTGCTTGCAATGATTCAATGAAATAGAAAAGTCCAAATTATTCAGATGAGGATACTTATTCAAATCTATGGCTTCATACGTCAAAGGCTCACAAATGTGGCTAACTGTGAGCAGCTTAAGCTCCATATGAGCATTATTTTTAAGCTCAAGACCCAGTTTTAAAACATGGCATTCAGTACGACACTCCTTTCTAGACCCAAAGGTCATTATAGAAACTGATTTAGTGCCCAGAGATGGCAATCCCAACCTCTGGCATGCACTTTGAGTAATATATGAGCACTGGCTCCCACTGTCCAATAGGACATATAAAGACATTCTATTACCAGGCTCATTTAGATTGAAGGCAGAGACGCATGCCACTTGCAAGAGAGTAGACTCTCTAGAACTAGTATAGAATGTGGCACCCGTATTTGATCCTTCAAATGGAGGGGTCTCTGGATCAAGCCCCTTAGACAAATGCGGGGAAGCACCATCTCTAGCAGTAGGAGGCCTCTGGCCTGATTTAGGCTTTGAGTTCCTCATACATACACTAGAGTGATGTCTCCCTCTACAAGTAGCACAGCTCATTGAAGAGCGACAGTGCTTACTAATGTGACCTGGGCAGAGGCAAACAAAGCATCTGCCCTGCTCTCTAATCATTCGCTTTCTCTCATCAATTCCAGTGACCTTAGTACACTGGGCAGGTGTGTGGTCCTCTTGCTGGCAAAAGCAGCAACCACTCTGGCTACCTCCAGTAAAAGTGGTAGTAGTGGGAAAATCCCTTCCACGCTTTGGTGTAAAACCACTCTGTTTAGTCTTAGGCAGGGAGGCCCTCTCTCTAGCTTCTACCTCTGCTAATAGCACCTCCAGTATCCTTGTCATGTTCCAATCATCTGCTGGAACCTTTCGGGCAATAGCAAGTCTGAGCTCAGATGGAAGTTTCTTTATGAACACAGGAGCCAGCAATGCTCCATAACAGTCCACAGGTACTCCCAATGCAGATAGACTCCTAATTGTAGACTCAGTCTTGTCATACAGGCGACGAAGCTCGAAAATGTGATGATCAGAAGAAACTGCATCAAGGCTCATCAGTACGTCCATATGACCTGCAGTAATCCTCTCCTTGCTGCCAAACCTCTTCTCCAATAAGTCAACCGCCGTAGAATAGTTGGCATCAGTAAGGGCAAGGCCTGCAATAGTTTCCTTGGCTTTCCCTTCCAATAAAGACTGCAAATAAGAAAATTTATCAATGGTTGCCAAGCTGGGGTTATCATGAATGGCCGATTTGAAGGAATCCCAAAATGAGGTCCATACAACTAGACTTCCATTAAAAGACTTTAATGTCAGCTTAGGCAGTTAATCAGCTAATCAGCTAATTGCCAGTATGTTGTCTCAATGACAATTATAACATTTTAGTTCTAAAAATATCAGAGCAGTGT